CATTGACTATGCAAAAGCATTTGATTGTGTGGATCATAACAAATTGTGGATAACATTGAGAAGAATGGGAATTCCAGAACACTTAACTGTAATCATGTGGAACCTGTATATAGACAAGAAGGCTGTTGTTCAAACAGAACAAGGGGACTCTGCATGGTTTAAAATCAAGAAGGGTGTGTGTCAGAGTTGTATCCTTTCACCATACCTATTCAATTAGTATGCTGAGCAAATAATCCAAGAAGCTAGACTTTATGAAGAAGAATGTGGCATCAAGATTGGAAAAAGAATCATTAACAAACTGTGATACACTGACGACACAACTTTGCTTGCTGAAAGTGAGGATGCCTTAAAGTATTAATGACGAAGATTGAAGAATACAGTCTGCAGTATGGATTACATCTCAATAGAAAGAAAACAAAAATCTTCACAACTGGACCTATAAGCAGCATTACGATAAATGGAGAAAAGTTTGAAATTGTCAAAGACTTCACATTGTTAAGTTCTACAATTGACACCAATGGAAGCAGCAGTCAGGACACCAGATGACATATAGCACTGGACAAATCGGCTGCAAAGGACCTCTTTCACGTGCTGAAGAGCAAAGATTTCTCCTTGAGGACTAGGATGTGCCTTACACAAGCCATGGTATTTTCAGTCACCTCATATGCATGTGACAGCTGGACAATGAATAAGGAGGACTGAAGAAGAGTTGATGCTTTTGAGCTGTGGTGTTGGAGAAAAATGCTTGAAAGTACCGTGGACTGCTAAAAGACCTAACAGGTCTGTCCTGGAGGAAGTGCAGCCAGAATGCTCCTTGGAGGCGAGAATGGCCAGACTTCGTCTCAACTACTTTGGTCATATTGTCAGAAAGGACCATCCCCTGGAGAAGGATGTCAGGGTCCACAAAAGAGGGAAAAGCCCTCAACGTGATGGGCTGACATGGTGGCAGTGGCGATGGGCTTAAGTATAACAAGAATCATGGAGCTGGCTCAGGATTGGGCGGTGTTTCATTCTGCTGTGCATAGGGTGGCTATGAGTCTGAGATGACTGGATGGCACCTAACATCAACAACAACAGTTTATTTATACTTCCTCACTGAAGTGTTTTTCTCACAACTTTATCTTAAGCCAGTGGTTCCCAACCAGTGTACTTTGTTTAAAAATGCATGGTTTTTTGTGTATATATACATTTTATTTAGAGCTCTGGTGGTGTAGTGGTTAAGGCATTTGGCTTCTAACCAAAAGGTCAGTGGTTCAAATCCTCCAGCCACTCCATGGAAGAAAGATGGGGCCATCTGCTTCTGTAAAGATTTACAGCCTTGGAAACCCAATGGGGGTTGCCCTGACTCAGAATTGACTCAATGACAGTTAGTTTGGAGGGATTTTTTTGGTATACATTTTATTATGTGTGCGTGTGCATGCATGTGTGCGTGCGTGTGTGTGTGATGCATGGCAGTTATTTTTGGAAACAAAATTAATTTAATTTTAGACTTATTTGAGAATTTCCCATCTCCAAATATTGGAAAATATTAAAGAACAAAATGAGGAATCATAAAATCAGAATCAAAATGGGAGTCACTTTTTCAATATATCTTAGGCCACATATCAGGAGATTTGGAAAGAGTCTTTATAAAAATAAATCCCATTTGCTAGGGAAGATCTTAATTGTGAAATCAATCACACTACTTCAGCCTCTAATTAAAGGCATCCAATTCGCCTGAAGTGATGTTTTATTTTGGTTTATTTTGTCTGGAGATGGGGGCAGGGTGTTTGTTCACACTCCATACCGGTTGAATAGACAGCCAGCTTATCCAAGTGGCCTTTCAAGCCTTCCAACTGTGTTGTCTGCTATTACTGATCACCTCACCTGGCTGTCTGACAGGCACTGGTTGTACAGTTGGTTTAGGTTTTATGGTTTCAATTTCAAGAAAACACTATTTTGGATCTGTTTTATTTTAAATTTTGAAAGGAAGGGGAAAGGGGAAAGAAAATTAACATTTAATCATCCCCTATTATGAGCCAAGGATTAGATGCATTTCCATCTGCTATTTTATTCAATCTTCATATCAGACTTTCAAAATGGTTACTATTATCCTCATTTAACAAGGTTGCACAATTAAAGGGAAATGCAATGATTCGGTTTGTTTTCATGTGTAAATTAGAGTCCAATGCCAAGCATTTATTTCTGCAAAACAAGGAATTTGCAACAGAACAACAGGGGAGAAGGTATAAAAATAAAAATATTGCTAAATTCAGTTATATATATATATATATATATATAGAGAGAGAGAGAGAGAGAGAGAGAGAGAGAGAGAGAGAGAGAGAGAGAGAGAGAGAGAGTGTGTGTGTGTATCTACTACAGGTATGCCCTGCTTTTCAGAAGCTTGCTTACTGCCTTTCACTTTTACAAAAAACTTTCGTTGGTACCTGTTTTCACTAACCTAAAGAAATTCTAAGAGGATTTCTGCTTTTATGAAGATAGGCAAAAAGTGAAACTAATATCAGTATTTGTTTTGTGGTGAGCCATTAAAAAGGCAGTACTCACTTGAGTAGTGACAGTAGTGTCACCCATCTCCTTCCCTGGTGAACTATGCTCAGCATCTCAGCATCAAGCTACCATAGCTTTGAACTGTGTCTGTGAACATCGTATATGACGGTTATTTTTGGTTTTATGTGTTATTTGGTATGATTTGGTGTGTTATTTTTTGGGCCCCATGTAAATCAACAGTAATTGCTCCTTTGCTTTATTCCATTTAGGTTTATGAAAGGTTTCAAAGGAATGCTCTACTTTCAGATACTAAGTGTTAAGTATTGCAGTAAGTACAGGCATACCTCATTTTATTGAGCTTCGCAGATGTCGACTTTTTCACAAGTAGAAGGTCTGTGGCTATCCTTCATCAAGTTGATTGGCACAATTTTTCCAACAGCATGTGCTCAATTTATATCTCTGTGTCCCATTTTGATGATTCTCACAATATTTCAAACTTTTTCATAATGCAACTGCATACATAATAGACTACTAAAACAAAATAAAACAAAACCCACTGAGTCAAATCCAACTCATAGTGACCCCATTGAGTTTCCAAGGTGGTAAATCTTCATGGAAGTAGATTGCCTCACCTTCCTTCTGCAGAGCGGCTGGTGGCTTAAACCACCAACCCTCTAGTTAGCAGTAGTCAATGCCTTCCTTGTAAACATAACTTTTATTTGCACTGGAAAACCAAAAATTTCTTCTGACTCGCTTTATTGTGACATTTGCTTTATTGTGATGGTCTGGAAGCAAACCCACAATATCTCCGAGTTATGCCTGTACTTGAGATTCAAAGATGAAAAGTTTAGAATCAGTAATTCATTTGAAGTTGGTTATGTCATGGAAAAACGAACCATTCCATCCTTGGAAATTATTTCTCTTAACTGTACTGAACGTGTCATGTGTGTGTGTGATAACACACATTGATAACACATTTAAAGGACATATTTGGTGACATTTACGTATCAATAAATATGTATTGATTTTCTTTCCTTCTCAGACAATCAAGATCAGCGCTGTCCAATAGAACTCTCTGTGACGGTAGAAATGTTTTGCATTAACTATTTTGGTAGCCACTAGTCATATGTGACTTGTGAGTACTTGAAAGATGACTAGTGTGATGGAGTAACTGACATTTTTACTTGTTGAATTAAATTTTAATTAATTTACATTTTAAAATCCTCATGTGCCTAGTGGCTACTGTATTAAGTAGTGCAGCTCTATATGATATAAATGAATAAAACACAGCTATTAACATCTTGGTGGTTTTGTAGGACTTGAGAAAGGACATTTAAAGTGTGATGCTGAATGAATAAGAGAAATTCAAGGATGTGGACAAGTCAAAATAGGAGTTCTGCAATTTCATTGCCTAAATATGAATTCCAGCTTTTGCATGCTACCTTTGTGTCCTTGAACCTGGTTTTTAAACTCTGTCTCAGTTTAGGACAGGTAAAATGAAGATAATAGGATCTACCCTATTAAGTTATGTTGGTACGGGGATAAACTAAGATAATATATGTGAAGAGATTAGTACAATGCCTGACAATCAGTACACACTCAATAAATGTTGATTGTCTCTTATGATGATGGTGTAAATTCTTACTCACTGGTATGTTATGGTATGGAGTCTGAGTATATGAGAGGGTGATGATTTATTCTGATTGTTCTATTTCTGATAGTGATGTGTTTCCAGGCTAACTGTTTAGGGCATTATTTTAGAGTTTATTATACCACCTAACATTTTTCTCTTAAAAAAAAAAATCTCTGAGGAATAAGATAATTTGGTCCTTTCAAGGATAGGTTTATTTACTTGGGAGTGGGTGTTTCAGTCCATCAGCTCTGCACTCTGTAGAAAACAGTTGTTATTTTAGGGACCAACGGCCCTTCTGTCAAGTCGCTTCATTTTGTTAGACTAATCAATAGAGGCAAAGACAAGGTAGCTGGAATTGTGTTGTAATTCATTTTAAACATTGTTGCATTTGTCTGTTTCAGTTACTGGCAGAAGAGTTGCCCCTGCGCCAGGGAATTCTAAAACAATTAAATGAAACTGGAGGAACGGTGCTTGTAAGCGCTCCCATAAGCCCAGAAGAGCAAGATAAACTTGAAAATAAGCTCAAGCAGACAAATCTCCAGTGGATAAAGGTTAGACATTAACCATCTCCTCTTGTCATATGCATTAAATGTTGCAAGTGTTTATGTTTCTTTTGTTCCTTGGGTGCTTTATGGAAAAGGTGTGTGTGTGTGTGTGTGTGTGTGTGTGATGCATTAACCTGACCATTTGTTTTGGCTGTATGATTTGTTGGAATGGAAAAAATGGTGATCATGGAGGATGGCACACCAATGACCAAATGCAAAATGGACACCATTATTTTTTGCATGAAAAATTTCAAACAATTAGGTTAGAAAAATGATGAAGTGATTAATTCAGAGTTCAGGTATACCTTGACAGTATTTTAGCAAGGTGGAGGTAACCAATTTCACCAAGTATAATAAATCAAAATTACTTATTCTCACCTAAAATGTATTTAATGGATCATTAATATAGACTAACTGCCCCACCCAAAAGTGCTTGCTTTTTTCATTCATTCATTCATTCTTTCAATCACTTACTTAACTTGGGAGTCTTCAACTTTCTGTCTTGTATAATTTTGAAATATAGTATTGAAAATGTTTACTAAAATAATAGATTTTTAAAAACTAAGAGGTGCATATAAATATACAGTGAAAGTAGCACTAATTGATCCATCACCATTTATGGAAAGATAATCGTTTCCCCATGTGCTACAGTGGCGCTTTTGTCACAAATCAAATGAGTATTTATATATGAATCAGCTTTTGCATTCTCTATTTTCTTCTATTCAATTATTACTATCCTTGTACCAATACCACACTGGCTTAATTATAATCAATTTATAAAAATAAAAATTGTAAGCAGGAGTATAAATCCTCCAACTTTGCCCTTCCTCTTGAAGACTGCTTTTGTATTTTTGGATTATCAAATAAATTCTACAACCGATTTGTCAGTTTCTACAAAAAGTCTGACAGAATAGTAATTGGAATTGTATTGACTCTTGATCTATTGACATCTTTACATTATTGACTCATCCAAATGTGAACATGCTGTATCCCTATATTTATCTAGGTATTTTTTAAAAGCCTTTTTAGCAATAGTTTGAAGTTTTTATTCTATATGTACGACACAAATTTTATTAATCCCTAGTATTTGATTATTTTTGATTCTACTATAAGTTTTAAAGTTTATGTTCTCTTCATTTGTTGCTGCTGTGCAGAATATTATTATGTTTATAAATTGAACATATGTATCCAGTGACTTTTCTAAATTTACTGATTAATACTCATAATTTTTAGAATCTTTGGGATTTTAAAAACAATTATTTTATTGTGTTTTCAGTGAAGGTTTATGCAGTAGCTTAGGCTCCCATTCAACAATTTCTACTCAAATTATTCAGTGACATTTATTACATTCTTCACAATGTGGGAACATTCTCATTATTTCTGTTCTGTTTGAATCTTTGGGAATTTTGTACACACAATTATATAATCATCAAATAAAGGAAATTTATCTTTTTCCAATACTTATCATTTAAGCATTTCTTTTTCTTCCTTTATTGCACAGGCTCTAAAACAATGTTAAATAGAAGTGAAGATATTGAGAAACGTTGTCTCATTCCCTGTTTGAAGTGAAAAGCTTTCCATAATTTATCATTAAATATGATGATTTTCATAGAATGTGACAATCTTCTTGAACAGATTAAGGAATCTCCCTTAATTCCCAGTTTGCTAAATTGTTGTCATAAATAATTATTGGAATTTGTCAATTACTTTCTCTGTATTTATGTAAATGATTGTTATTTTTCTCCTATTGTGTGAAAATAGTGAATTATAGTCATTGGTTTGTGTGTAAATTTTTATTGTGATTTAGGTGCAATTTTACAAAGAAGATTCATTTTATATTCAACAGTTTATACATGTTTTGTTTTCTGACACTGATTATAATCCTCACAATGGAACACATCTCCTGCCACCTCGTGCCTGTGGTTACACCTTCCCTGTGTCCTTCTTACTTATTCATTCATGCCTGCCTAGACTTCTCCATGTGCAAATGCTGCGCTTCTGATCTTCTGTGGCTGAGTGTTCTAAGGAGTCCACCTTCTTGGTGTAGTTGTTCAGCTCATAGTCCTGTCTATTGTTTAGCTGGGAGTTAAGCTACTGAATGACCCCAATTCTAGGCCCCAAAGTGTGATGCGGGGCCATAGTGTCAGGGTTTTCACTAGTCTCTATCTGACCATTAATGTTCGTCTTCTTTATGTTTTTCAAGTTTGTTCCACATTTTCCCCCTACTCTATCCAGGATCTCTAATTTTGAACCCTGTCCAAATAGGTGGCATTGGTAGCCAGGCACCATTTGGTTCTTCTGGTTTCAGGGACATGTAAGTTTAGGTTCTTGTGGTCCATTCGTCTCTTGGATTAATTGTTTCCATGCATCTTTGATTTTCTTCACTCTTCTTTGTTCCAGATGAGGAGAGACCAATAGGTCACCTCTCACAAGCTTTTAAGACCCTGGTAACTACTCACCAAAGGAGAATGTAGAACAATGTTTTATGTACTTTGTTGGATTGACGTCCCCTGTGACTATCATCCTGAGGCCAGAGGCCTAGCGTAGAGTCATTTGTTTTCTTAATGTGAAGCCACTCTTGAATTCCTAAAATAAACTCTATTGGTCATGAGGTGTTATAATTTTTACAGATTGTTGGATTCAATTTTCTAATATTTTGTTTAGGATGTCTGTGTCTTGGTTTTCATAGATACTTAGCTGTATGTTTTTTTTTTTTTTTTTTCATGTAATATTCTTGTCAAGTGTAGGTCAATTTTAGACTAGCCACATAAAGCAAGTTGGAAAGCATTCCCTCTTTTTCTTTTTTCTGGAAGAAATAGTTTAAGATTGGTGTTATTTCTTCCCAAAGTGTTTCAAAGAATTCAATTGTAAAGCTAACTGGGCATGGCATTTTTATTGTGGGAAATATTTTAATAGTAGTATAATTTTTTTAATGGACATAACCAAAACCAAACTCTCTGCCATTGATTCGATTCTGACTCATAGTGACTCCCTCCCATAGAGTTTCTGAGGCTGTAAATCTTTACAGAAAAAGACTGCTTCATCTTTCTTCCACAGAGTGGCTGTTGGGTCCAAAGCACTGACCAGCAGCCAAGTTCCTTAACCACTACACCACAGAGTTCATTTAATAGATATAGGAGTGTTTATTTTATTTTTTAAAATTTCTTTGCATGTCAGCTTTTTACAGTTGTATATTTCAAATAATTTGTTCATTGCCTTGCTATTTTATTTTTTTGGATTATTTACTTTCTTAGTGATCATTTATATGTAAGTATGAAAAAACAGAAAAGCTGACTGAGAGCTCTAAGACTTGGGTGGATCTTGTTGACTAATTTTTTTTTTTTTTTTTAGCTATATGTGAGAAGGCAGAGAGCTGTCTTTTCTACTTCAAATGCTATAATACAGAGGGCTTTATTCTTATATAAAAGAAGTTCTAGTGATGTAGTGGATAAGACATTTGACTGGTAATCAGAAGGTCCGTGATTCATACCCACCAGCTGCTCCATGGAAGGAAGATAGGGCAATCTACTTTCATAAAGATTTACAGCCTCAGAAACCCAACGCGGGTCACTATGAGTTGGAATCGACTCAAAGGCAGTTTTTTGTTTTTAATGCCAGAATTCCCGCTTCCCTAGTTCTCGCCAGGTACCAAGTTCAGTTTCTTTAGAAAAGCACCACACACGTTTTGTTTGTTTGTTTTTTGTCATACATGTTTATAGTCTCCTATTTGTAAATGCTAAGAAAAGACTTCTACAGACCACGAGTCCTCCAGTTTTAACCCGCTTCCTTGCCTACACATCATGGCTTTTTTTTTTTTTTAATGCAAACACTCTCCAGATTCTGCCTGAGTGAATTCTCCCTGTACCTAAGGCTCCTTCTGCCTTACTTTATACATCCCCACTTTCCATCTGCTTTTGGCCTTTCAAGGCTTTTTGAACCCCCTCATCCACCACTGTTTCACTATCTTACTGAGCATTTTTAATACCAGTGAACTTTTTTCCATGCAAAATATAAAGCACATTGTAACCCTTTAAACTGGGAACAAATCCATGCTGAGAAGCTATTGCAGAACTATAATTTTCATGTAATACAAAATGACTTCTTTCAAATATGGCATAATTTTCTCTAAAGAATTACTTGTCATTCATCAGCACCTAACTAATTGAGAGGGAGGAAGAAGATATCCTGCAAAAAGTTTATTTATGTAGACTATTTGAAAAGAAAATTATAGAGACTTCATTTTGAATTGCACCAAGTTATTTATTATATATTTAAATTTATGATGCTGAAGTTTTTATGACAGATTATTTACCTGGTTGATAAAATATTTAAGACTGAAATAAATACCAATTTTGACATTAAAGTCTTAATCTTAAGTCTCTAAAATTCAAACTAGAAGGTATTTGAAAAATAATCCCCTTTTATTTTTATGGGAGCTCTGGGGGCATAGTGCCTAAGGCATTTGACTGCTAACCAGAAGGCTGGTGGTTCAAACCCACCAGCCACTCCTCGGACGGAAGGTTGGGCAATCTACTTCTGTAGTGATACTGCCTCGGAAACCTGAGGAGGGGTCACTATGAGTAGAATTGACTCAAAGGCAGTGAGGGATTTTATTTTTATATATCAATACTTTCAGTTATGTGTTAACCAAAGTAAAACCATTTAGGTGAATTTAAATTTATTGAAAAATGAAAAGTGTCTTCCTTTAACTATTTCAGAACATCCATGTAAATATTAGACACTTGCATGTAGAAGGAACACAATGTCCCAGTAACTAAATTTTGTAGCCACATAACAACACAAACAAGAACATTCCTTTTAAGAAGACAAGGAGGAGTGATGCCCCAGAATGTTCGACCATATCTCAGTATATTTTGACATCACAAAAAGAAACACAAAAATTTGTAATTGTAGGAAATGTGAGAGAACTAATTACATAATTGTAGCTTTGTAAATTATGAAACATGTCTCGAGATTTTTTCTGTTCTGCAACACAATTAAAAGTT